GGTTAATAGTTAGAAAATTATTAGTATATATATATATATATATATATATATATATATATATATATATATATATATATATACTAATAATTTTCTAACTATTAACCCGTGTAATATATATATATATATATTACACGGGTTAATAGTTAGAAAATTATTAGTATGGGGTTGTTTCCCTGTATGAAGCTATATAGAAGGTTCAGAAAGACAACAACATTCCAAAAAAATAAAAAGATAAACTAAAAAGGAAAAAAAGAAAAGTAGCAAAGTGAACTGGACGGCTAGGTTTGTAATTCTTTAGGCACCAGAACAACTACAAATAATCTGATTAAACCTGAATATCGAGTTTTGCCAATTTGAAGCTCTTCCTTTTTCTGTCTCCTATATGCACACTGGCCCACCAGAAGCAAATTGGTTACTGTCTGTCAAAGATTTACCTTCTACATGTCCCATATGCTCCTAGTTGTTCAGGAAATATTCAAACAGATGGCAGTTATTAACTTATTATCATATAAGCCAAAAAAAAAAAAATGCAATCGTTGTTGTCTTTTAAAAGATTCTTACACTAGTGTATTATGCCATTTTGGTTCTGATGTTCTTGCATTCCTTTTTTTGTTTAAAAAACTTGCTCGGTTATAATCACGACATATTGCTATTGAGTGCACAGAAATGCAACCTTTCTTTACTTCTGCATCAAGATTTACCCTATTTAGTTGATTCCTACTACCAAATTATGAGAAAGTTTAGGCAGTGCCAGCCCTCTATTTGGTCAACATTACCATTTGACTTCTGTTGCTGATGGCTAATATGTTATGATGCAATCGAAGAGTAAAAACTTTTTGGTGCTTAGAGCGAGAACCATAATTCTTGTACTAGTGATGGTGCCATGGCCTGAAAGCATCTTCTATCTCCACTGGTAGTATCTATCTTAGCTAAAACTTTGTGTTTATTATACAATCGTTACTCTTTATGTCTTCTATATGAGAACGAGGTCTTGACCTGCTCTAGTATCCATGTTGTTTTTAGTGAGTTAATTTGGTCAAGGATTGGAAAAATATATGATCTAGAAGTTTAACACATAATCTGTTACACTTGATAATGAAATCTGTATGCCTGCTAAGCAGTGTTGTGAAGAGCGTGAAGCGAGGAAAAGCGACAACCCCCATTTCACGAGAAGCTAGAAGCGAAGAGTTCGCTTTTTTTAAGTGAAGCGGAATTTAAAAAAAAAAATTAAAATAAATACTGCATAAAAATTTGGCAGAAACTGGAAAAATTGGGCTGAAATTTTCTGAGAAAGAACCGAAGGTAAAAAAAAAAAAAAAAATCGCCAGCATTTCGCCGCTTTTTGGACGTTTAGAAAGAAAAAGAAAAAGAAGAAAAAGAAGAAGAAGAAGAAGAAGACTGAAAATCAAAAGTGCAGAAGCAGAACGTACCTGTACTGTTGAAGAAGAAGAAGAAGAACAACCCTAGTTGATGCTTTGAGATTATTTCAGAAATCAGAAGTTGATGAAGAAGAGAAGAAGAAATCGCTACCGTTGTTGAAGAAAAACCCTAGTCTCGCTGCTATTGAAGAAGTCCAGACAGTGTTTACGGTTTAGAAGCCTCGTTTTTTAATAAAATAGGGCTTGGGTTAATTTTAAACATAGAAGCGGACGCTTCTAACGCTTCTTCTCGCTTCGCCGCTTCTCGCTTTTTACAGAGAAGCGGTCGCTTTTTCGTACCAGAGTCGCTTCAATTACCTGAAGCGCTGCCCTTCACGCCTCGCTTCGCTTCTCGCTTAAAGCGAGGAAGTGAGCGCTTTTTTAATCACTGCTGCTAAGAAGATTGAACAAGCAGCCTCTATATGAACTAGTGAAGTTTGAATCTCATTTTAAAGAGTATATGGTTACGGTACATTAGCTTTTCCCTTTCTTTTTGTTACATCATATTTTCTTTAATGTGGGATCTGACAAGTGTGTTCTTTTCAACCTATGTCAAAGGTAGGTAAGCCGGTTTCTATTACTATATTTTAAGGATGCTGCCAGGCAGAAGAAATTCCTTCTCCCGAGTCTTCTTCTTTTTAATTTGTCAAGTAATTTATATGGGTCTTCCAAGCTTCAGAATAATCCAGCTAACACCTACTATTGTACTGTTTACCTAAGAGCTGATTCCCCATTGAATGTTTATTGATCACCTTTCCGCTTCTTGAGAAGATATCGCAGTCGAAGGGCTTAATGTGAATAATCGAGTAGTTAAATGGTTTCAGAAACGCCTCTCACTTGCAACTTAATTATGTAAAATCCTCTGAAATTTTCTAGGTTCATTTGAAGAACAAAAAGTTAAAACTGAGCTTCGAAATGCTTTGCCTCATATAGTTTCTTGACATGGGGTTAAACTAATATAGAAATATACAGTTGATTTGCCTCATTCAGGCCTAAAGTTTGCCATTTACTCATGAAAATTCCCATTGGCTACACAAAATCGCAGAGACCAGATTCTTGATACATTTGTATTACTCTGTTCAATTTCTTGCTTCGACTTTGTAGTAGTATCAGTTGTTCCACAAATCCTATTTGTTAGTATTCATCTTATGCATCAAAATGCAATATCTTCACTGGTGAAGAATTTGTTGATTTATTAGAAATTATTCTGTGTTACTTCATCTCTTTGGCTGATTTTTTTCAGAATGCTGCTCCGCAAAAGGGAGGCGAAGTGAATTTAACCCTTGGAGGTATTGATCTCAACAATTCAGGCAGGTTGGCTTATTATTTCTTGCTATGATTCATATAGTTACTAGTGTGGCTTTCTTTTGTCAAGTAACACCAGAGCGGTAAATGATGCTATTTTTCCTCTGATTTTTCAGCGTGGTTGTCAAAGAAGATAAAAAGCTGTTGACTGTGCTCTTTCCTGATGGCCGTGATGGACGATCTGTCACACTTAAGGTGCCCATATTTTTGGTTGCTTCTTTTTAGCTTTAATAATGTTTTCATATTCCTGCTAAACTTTGATATTCATTCTCTCATGCTGATTATACATGCAAATAGAATTTGCTCTATATTGCATTGATTTGCGGTCTAGGAAGGGAAAGGAAAGACAGAAAACATGCGCTTGCACACTTGCCATTCATCTGTGCTTTCGATCCGGAGTTGCGGTGCTACTTCCCATTCTCGTTCTTGACTTTTAGCTGTATTACTATTTAGGGTGTTAAATTTAGCCCACAAAAAGTGGGCAAGCCTAAGGAGAGGTAGAGGTAGATCGAGGAAGAATTGGGGAGAGGTGATTGGACAGGATATGGCACATCCCTAACTTACCGAGGACATGACCCTAGATAGGAGAGTGTGGAGGTCGAAGATTAGGATAGAAGATTAGTAGTTAGTCGAGCGATTTCTCTCTTTGCTGTAGGAGATCATGATTCTAGTTTAGAGCACTTCATCTGGTCCCTCTTCTCTTTATCAGTATTTTTGTTGTTATTCTATTATTATATTATTCTCCGGATTTATTACTATTATTGTTTCTTTTACTTTGGTTATCTTTACTATTTTGCTGTCAATACCTTTTTACCAATGTATTTTTTAAACCTGTTCCAAAAATATTTCTCTTGAGCAGAGGGTCTAACGAAAACAGCCTCTCTACCTCTCACAAGGTAGGGGTAAGGTCTGCATACACCCTACTGTATGAGGTAAAATTGGTTAGCGATGGGTGGATGAATGACAAGGTGACACGTGTAACCGGAGACAGGTAATATGTGAGTCAGCTAATAGTTGACATCGTATACAAACATGAGTTCGGTACCGTGTAAATTCCGAAGGCATGGGAACCAATAACAAAGATTTGAAAGAAAGATATCGGTTGAGAAAGACAACATTCAACGAGCTGCCGTTACAAAGAATCTCTGTATTAATAGCCAACCGTTATGCAGCCATCAATGGCGATTTTATTCTCATTCAAGAGGAGCTTGATTTGGGATCTTGTCTCCCTAAATAGAGCTATAAATAGGAGAATTAGTAAGGCACGAAAAATCATCTATACTCAAAGACGGTAACTCGCTATCATTTTATAAAAATACCTGCTTTCTTTTGTTCCTAACATTGTTCCTATTATCGCTTCCAAAGAGGCTCGTCATACAGCTAGGCTTGTATTTCTTTTAAGTTATTTTATAATCTTATTTTTGTTCTTACTTATTTCATATTTCTGGATCAAATTAATTCATGTGCCTATAAACCACGTTACAAATTCAACTGTACTGTTTTACGGGTAAACAGTTTGGCGTCCACCATGGGGCATAGACAATTGTGTAATTACTTTGATCCATTCATCTGTTTCTAACAAAGTTTGATTCTTTTCTATTAGTAAAAGAAAAATCAGCAGCTAACGATGTGAACAATTCCTACAATGTTGGAGCACAAATCGAACGTGAGGATGTGTTTCAACGTGATGATTCAACTAGCGAAACTCGCAACGAAGGAGATGAAACAACTCCAGTTTGCGAGGTCAAAATCCTCGGCATGTGAGAAGTCCAACTCCTGATGATGCGGATGATGAACACAATGTTTGAAACGGTCAAAATTTTGAGGGACCAACAAAGAGAAATTATGAATCACCTCTCAAGGCAAGACCGGGTGATGGCGGAATTGAAGCAGGCCCTTTCGGTCGCTTCCAATAAATCAAATGGAGGAGTTCGGATTCCTCCCAGCGTTCCTGCAAATCAAACAGTTCAAAGAACCGGTAACGACGCTCCAAGGGAGGAGTTCGATTTTAACGAAGCAGGTGGTACAGGTAGTGGATCCGGGAACGACAATAACGATAGTGATCCTTTCAAAACTGAGCTCATGAGATTCATGAGGGAAATGAATGAACGAATGGACCAAAATGCTAAAGAATTTCATGCTCAGGTGGATTAGATCCCGGGAGCGACATCGGTGCTAAAGGGACCGGATTCCGAGAAGTATACGTGTTGCCGTTCAAACCAAGTGCGGCCCTAGAGTTGATTCCAAAAAGATTTAAGATGCCGGATATTCCGAAGTATGATGGGACTTCGGATCCATAGGAGCATATCACGACCTACACTACGACTGTAAAGGAAAATGACTTGGCCTAACACGAGATTGAATCTGTCTTGTTGAAAAAATTTGGCAAAACCCTGACGAAGGATGCTTTAACTTGGTATTCTCTTTTACCTGAGCATTCCATTGATTCTTTTGAAATGCTTGCAAGCTCATGCTGGGGCAAGAAAAGTCATAGCAAGGAAGGCGAATATATTCAGAATAGCCTAAGGAGAATCTATATTCAGAATAGCCTAAGGAGAATCCGAACTATTGTGAGAGTTCGTGATCCGGTTGATGTTGTTGCTAGCAGTACCAGATGAGTGGGCAGCTGAAGCGTTTACAAAGGGTCTCAACCCGTTGAGCTCCGATGCCTCCAGGAAATTGAAGGAAAGCTTATTAGAATTTCAGGCAACCACATATCGCTACGAGTCAAAGATTAGAATAGAAGATGATCAACTGAGTTCCTCGGAGTCTTCCAAAGAACGTAATCATAATCAGAATCAGGAAAGGTTTAAAGCTGATGTGGATGCAGATCGGAGATCTTCCAGAGGTCGGTTTCAGCCTTACGAAAGGGCCGATGGGCGAGGGAATAAAGGTTTTCAGTCATCAGATAGGTTTGCTTCCGATAGAAGAATGGATCGTGGTCGGAGTAGCAGAACTTTACGGGAGAAAGTAGCATTGGGGTCTCGAGATTCAGCATATCCTCGGTTATCTGACTACAACTTTAACATTAGTTTAGTAGAGTTGGTGTCGGCTATGAGAAACATGAAGGAGGCTAGGTTTCCAAACCAATTCGATCGGATCCTAGTCAAAGGGATCCTAATCTATGATGTGAGTTCCATGGAACACATGATCATAGGATTGGGGACTACCGGCACCTTCGTGAAGAGGTTTCAACGTTGCTGAAGAATGGTCACCTTAGAGAATTTCTAAGTGATCGGGCCAAAAATAAATAAGGGGAAAAATCGAGACACTGGGGAGCCATCTAAACCGGCTGCAGGGTCACCTCGTATGACGATAAACATGATTTTTGGTGGTGACAAGGTAAATGAGTGACATTTTCAGTAAAAAGAAGACGAAGATATCGATAACTCATGGCAAGAGAATCCGAGAAGCTTTAGAAGATGACATCACTTTCACAGAACATGATTGATAGACTTCTTCTACCGTACAATGATGCTTTGGCAATATCTCTTAATGTCTTAGATTTCAAAATTAAACGTGTGTTAGTTGATCCAGGTAGTTCAGCCAATATCATACAATGGAGAGTTTTAGAGCAAGCAAAGTTAACAGGAAACATAGTTCCGGCAACAAAGCTTCTGGCCCGGTTTAACTTAACAAGTGTAACGACCCTGGGAGAGATTCTACTGCCCACACATGTCGAAGGCGTAACGAAGACCACTCTGTTCGAAGTGGTAGATGGCGACATGGGATACAATGTGATCCTTGGAAGGCCTGCTTTATTCTTCGATAATGTGACCTTACTCCATTTTACCAGATGTAAGCACCTCGTCTCTTTCTTTCCTTTCCATAAGGATTCTCTTTCTGTGTTATCCAGCCTTCTCTCTAAGCTCTACGTTTTTCGTTAACCAAAATAAAGACATCACATATGCGGGCAAACTAGTAGTACCCACTACACAGTTGATAAGTGCGATCTTCCTTCCTAGTGATAAATAATGCCCCTTCAAGTTTGACATTTTCTTCTTAAACTTTTCCCGAACTCTCTGCCAAACACTTCAGCTTTATATTTAGCCCCTAGAGGTAGGCCAATGTACGTGGCCGGTAAGGTCCCGGCTTGTGCACCCTAGAATATCTACTAAGGCTTGTATATAATGCACATAGTTAACTGGGAGGAACAGCTCTTATCCACTTTGAATTGAAGTCCGGATATAGCCTTCAAAAACAAGAAGGATAGTCCCTAGATATCTCAATTGATTTACTCCTGCATCACAAAACATAAGGGGTGTCATCTACCCATAATATATGCGTAATGGTTATAGGATTATTGCTTCTTTTTCGAACCGAGAATCCTCCATCCAGTTATCTTCTTTCGCTATGTCGAGCATCCTGCTCAAGACCTTCACAACCAACTAGAGGAGAAAAGGTGATAATGGATCACCCTGCCTCAAACCCCTATATGCTGTTGGAAGCATAAAGAATCTTGCACTAGCGCTACATGGTTAGTTCAAAGTATCGATATATTTTTTCTTTTGCTATTTGTGTACTCATATATTCTTAGAACTACAACTAAATTTGAAAATTCTTCAGCGGTATACTTGAGAATTGAAACATCCCTCCAATTGGCTAACACTAAACAATAAATTAGTAGTTCCAAAAATCTGAGTATTTCACAAGGTTCTGCTGCAATGGACGATGATACAACAACAACAACAACAACAACAACAAAAAAATCAAGTATAATCCCACAAGTAGGGTCTGGGGAGGGTAGTGTGTATGCAGACCTTACCCCTACCTTGAGGATAGAGAGGCTGTTTCCAATAGACCTTATCCCTACCTTGATGATACTGCCTCAAAAAAGTGCCATTTGCACCAATAGTACATTGTGAAAACTGTAGGCTAATGGTGTACATTTATTTTCATGTTTAGTCAATCACGTCCTTGCGCCCTTGGTTTTATGGTGGAAATTATTTTCTGTTGTCATGACAGCAATGAATTCATGACAGTAAAATTTCTTTTGCCATTTCTAACAGGGTTCTCTCAACTTTCTGTTTATACTTTACATTGTTGACATTTCATCATCATTAGTACTATCACTGCTCTAGGTATGTGCTTCTAGAAATATATGAAGCTTGCTTGATTAAGTTCTAAGAGTTTCCCTGCCACAGGCTGAAACACTAGAGGATTTGCTTGAGTGGAAAGCAGCACTTGAGGAGGCTTTGGCAAGTGCACCAAATGCTGATCCTGTAACTACCCAAAATGGAGTATCTAGGAATGATCAGGGCAATGCAGTTGACCATTCATCAGAGCAGTGTAAGCTTCTCATTGATATGGTTATAAATGATGTGAACCTTTGACGTATATCTGTCAGTTATAAGAACAAATTGTGGGGAAAATCTGCCTATTATATAGCCTTACTTACATTTGATTTACAAGACAACTCTTTTGCGAGAAAACAAGAATTTCATTCTGCTTGTGCTTTTTGATTTTTAAGCTATAACATTCATCATTTTGTCTAAATGTGTCTGTGTGTTTGGTTGTGAATGTCTATTTCTTCTGCATTATTAAAATTGGTGAAGGTCTGGCAACAGTTCGGTTACATTTAGGGGATGCCAAACTCTTTGAAGGGGATGTCATTTAATCTCTGTGAGAATGCACGGGAGAAAAATATTATTATTGATTAATTAAGACAATGATACACTGAGCCCTATATATACACAATACATGTCCTACTCCTAATACATATGGGATTAGGGTTATCTACTACTATTTACACAATGAAACTAACACTCCCCCTCAAGCTGGTGCATATAAATCATATGTACCGAGCTTGTTACATATATAACTAATACGAGGACCAGTGAGGGACTTGGTGAAAATATCAGCAAGCTGATCATTTGACTTTACAAATTTTGTAGCAATATCTCCTGAGAGTATCTTTTCTCTAACAAAGTGACAGTCAATCTCGATGTGTTTTGTTCTCTCATGGAACACTGGATTTGACGCAATAAGAAGAGCAGCTTGATTATCACACACAAGTCCCATCTGACTAATCTCACCAAATTTTAGCTCCTTGAGCAACTGTTTGATCCAAATTAGCTCACACGTGGCCATAGCCATTGCTCGATATTCTGCTTCTGCACTAGACCGAGCAACCACATTCTGTTTCTTGCTCTTCCAAGACACCAAATTTCCTCCTACTAAGACACAATATCCAGACGTAGAATGTCTATTAGAAGGTGATCCTGCCCAATCAGCATCTGAGTATCCAACGATCTGCTCATGGCCTCGATCTTCAAACAATAAGCCTTTGCTTGGAGCTGATTTTATATACCGAAGAATGCGAACAACAGCATCCCAATGACTATCACATGGAGAATCCATAAACTGACTCACAACACTCACAGGAAAGGAAATGTCAGGTCTAGTCACTGTGAGGTAATTTAATTTACCAACCAACCGCCTATATCTTGCAGGATCGCTAAGAGGCTCCCCCTGTCCTGGCAGAAGTTTAGAATTCGGATCCATCGGAGTGTCAACAGGTCTACAACCTGTCATTCCTGTTTCCTCAAGAATATCTAAGGCATACTTCTGTTGTGAGATCACAATACCCGAGCTAGACTGAGCGACCTCAATACCCAGAAAATACTTTAATCTGCCCAGATCCTTAGTCTGAAAGTGCTGAAAGAGATGTTGCTTCAACTTACTAATACCATCCTGATCATTGCCGGTAATAACAATATCGTCAACATAAACGACCAGATAAATACAGAGATTTGAAGCAGAATGTCGATAAAATACAGGGTGATCAGCTTCACTACGAGTCATGCCAAACTCCTGAATAACTGTGCTGAACTTACCAAACCAAGCTCGAGGAGACTGCTTTAGACCATAGAGGGATCGGCGCAACCGACATACAAGGCCAATAGACTCCCCCTGAGCAACAAAACCAGGTGGTTGCTCCATATAAACCTCATCCTCAAGGTCACCGTGAAGAAAAGCATTCTTAATGTCCAACTGATAGAGAGGCCAATGGCGAACAGCAGCCATGGATAGAAAAAGGCAGACTGATGCAATTTTAGCCACGGGAGAGAAAGTATCACTGTAATCAAGTCCAAATATCTGAGTATAGCCTTTGGCAACAAGACGAGCATTAAGTCGATCAACCTGGCCATCTGGACCAACTTTGACTGCATACCGAGCTGACACGACTCACACTCTAGAGTGGACAAGTGAGATAAGTCGGGTACCATTTTCTGAAGTTTTAACAAACTGGGATGTCCTAACCGTTTATGTAATAAATCTGGTGAATCAGTAACGAGAGAAGTTATTGGAGGAAGACAAGATGCGAGTCCATGTGATTTTGCAAGGATAAGGTAATAAAGTCCATCTGATTCACGTCCGGTATCAATGATCCGCCCTGTACTGCGTTCCTGTATAAAAACAAGGTCATCAAGAAATAGAACAACAGATTTAAGTGATTTGGCTAAGCGACTAACGGCTATGAGATTAAAAGGACTACCAGGAACATAAAGAACCGAGTCTAAAGGTAAGGAAGGAAGTGGACTTGCTTGACCTATTGCAGTTGCCATGGCTTGAGACCCATTGGCCATTGTGACTGTTGGAAGAGATTCAGAATATGAGATACTAGTGAAAAGAGATTTGTTACCAGAAATATGATCAGATGCACCTGAATCAATGACCCAAGACTCAGAAGGTGAAGATTGAGAGACACCAGTCATGCTACTATTTGTTGGAACGACGGAGGTTAATCCTGAAGATGTCTGTTTACGTGCTTTGTACTGAAGGAACTCAATATAATCTGGTAAAGAAATCATCTGGATTGGATTTATTGCATTTAATCCAACAGATTGTGAGGTGAAGGCTTCAGGTAATGATTCCATTATAATATTGTGCCGGAAAAAAAACAGAAAATTGCTGGATCACTGTTCACGTCGGGAAAATCACTGTAGCTCGCCGGAAAATTCCAAAGTTGTCAGAATCTGATGTAAACTTGATGGGTAGGCTCGGAAAAACACGAAGAACACACTGTCCAAAAGAAACTTTTTGAAATTCTGGCCGGAACAGCCCTCACGTGCCGACGCGTGAGACAGACGCGCCGCCGGCGGCAGAGCTCCGGCAAGCGCGTGGGGGCGCGTGGATGAGTGTTTTCAGGTGAACTTTTCTGGGGTTTGGTCGGATCTCTCTTGGGGACCTTTTGGTGGTGTTGGATTTTGCACAACACTGATAATTAGTGACTTTGACGCAATTAGTCACTTAGGTCACCGGAAAATTGCACGGTGACTGAGTTATTTCTTCCCGGATATCGCTGGAATGACGCACAACGATTAATTTCTCACGGTTGCTCTGATACCATGTGAGAATGCACGGGAGAAAAATATTATTATTGATTAATTAAGACAATGATACACTGAGCCCTATATATACACAATACATGTCCTACTCCTAATACATATGGGATTAGGGTTATCTACTACTATTTACACAATGAAACTAACAATCTCAGCATCACAATGTCTAACTATAATCTACTCGTCCACAGTGCAACTGTACAAACACTTCATTGAGATTTTGCTGCTCATCTGGCCTGAAATGATTATCACATATCAACAAAGTAATTTCAAGGGCTTATGCCCGATGAGGTTTTCTGAATGTGGCAACTGCATTGACCTAAGTTGCATGGCTTTAAGGAGAAAATATATTATTGATGTATATACATATGTTACAATGAGCCCTATATATATACACACATAACATGTCCTACTCCTAACATATATTGGATTAGGGTTATTTATTTACTCCTATTTACATGACTATTCTAACACTCCCCCTCAAGCTGGTGCATATAAATCATATGTACCAAGCTTGTTACATATGTAGTTAATACGAGGACCAGTGAGGGACTTGGTGAAAATATCTGCAAGCTGATCATTCGACTTCACAAACTTTGTAGCAATATCTCCCGAGAGTATCTTTTCTCTAACAAAGTGACAGTCAATCTCAATGTGTTTAGTTCTCTCATGGAACACTGGATTTGACGCAATATGAAGAGCAGCTTGATTATCACACACAAGTCCCATCTGACTAATCTCACCAAATTTCAACTCCTTGAGCAACTGTTTGATCCAAATTAGCTCACATGTGGCCATAGCCATTGCTCGATATTCTGCTTCTGCACTAGACCGAGCAACCACATTCTGTTTCTTGCTCTTCCAAGACACCAAATTTCCTCCTACTAAGACACAATATCCAGACGTAGAACGTCTATCAGAAGGTGATCCTGCCCAATCAGCATCTGAGTATCCAACGATCTGCTCATGGCCTCGATCTTCAAACAATAAGCCTTTGCCTGGAGCTGAAATTATATTACGAAGAATGCGGACAACTGCATCCCAATGACTATCACAGGGAGAATCCATAAACTGACTCACAACATTCACAGGAAAGGAAATGTCAGGTCTAGTCACTGTGAGGTAATTTAATTTACCAACCAACCGCCTATATCTTGCAGGATCGCTAAGAGGCTCCCTCTGTCCTGGCAGAAGTTTAGAATTCGGATCCATCGGAGTGTCAACAGGTCTACAACCTGTCATTCCTGTCTCTTCAAGAATATCTAAGGCATACTTCCGTTGTGAGATCACAATACCTGAGCTAGACTGAGCGACCTCAATACCCAGAAAATACTTTAATCTGCCCAGATCCTTAGTCTGAAAGTGCTGAAAGAGATGTTGCTTCAACTTACTAATACCATCCTGATCATTGCCGGTAATAACAACATCGTCAACATAAACGACCAGATAAATACAGAGATTTGAAGCAGAATGTCGATAAAATACAGAGTGATCAGCTTCACTACGAGTCATGCCAAACTCCTGAATAACTGTGCTGAACTTACCAAACCAGGCTCGAGGAGACTGCTTTAGACCATAGAGGGACCGGCGCAATCGACATACAAGGCCACTAGACTCCCCCTGAGCAACAAAACCAGGTGGTTGCTCCATATAAACCTCATCCTCAAGGTCACCGTGAAGAAAAGCATTCTTAATGTCCAATTGATAGAGAGGCCAATGGCGAACAGCAGCCATGGATAGAAAAAGGCGGACTGATGCAATTTTAGCCACGGGAGAGAAAGTATCACTGTAATCGAGTCCAAATATCTGAGTATATCCTTTGGCAACAAGACGAGCCTTAAGTCGATCAACCTGGCCATCTGGACCAACTTTGACTGCATACACCCAACGACAACCAACAGTCGATTTACCTGAAGGAAGAGGAACAAGCTCCCATGTACCACTCGTATGTAAAGCAGACATCTCGTCAATCATAGCCTGTCGCCATCCGGGATGAGACAGTGCTTCACCTGTAGACTTAGGAATGGAAACAGA